TGGAAGCGATGTCCGCCTGCTCCGGACGTTGGAGCACTCACCACTGCTACACCACGCTCTCAGGCGGTGGAGACGACGACGACGCGACTCCCCCGCCCGCCGCCGCCGGCACCGCCTCCCCTGCGTCGCCCGAGGAGGCGCCCAAGAACCTGCGGCTGAGCGGCCTTGAGCGCGCGGCGGAGGCGGCGAAGCCGGGCGGCACGCCGGCGGGCAAGCCCGTCCCGAAGCTGTCGCTCGGCGGCTTAAAGGCCCCCGCCAGCGAGGCCGCGGCCGGCGGCGGCGCTGCTCGCCTCCCCGTCCGACGCAGCCTGGCGGGTGGACAGCGTTCTCTTCACAGCTCTCCGGTGTGAGCAGGCGGCGAGGGGCCAAAGTCTCCGCGGATGCCGACGTCGCCGCGGATGCAAAAGGCGGTCGAGTAGGCGGGTAGTGCGCCTGGTAGTGCGTAGGCAGCCAGCATGCCAAGATCGGACCCCTCTCCACTCGCCCAAGCGACTAGCGACATGAGACGTAGCTCAACAGGGGCGGTAGAGAGCGGCGGGCGCGTCCGCGATCTCTCGGCCGCATCTCGGCGAGAGCTCGGCTGCCTCTCTCCGGTTGCTTCCCCCTTTGCCCCACCACCTCGTGTGTGTGGAGAAGTTTACCTTGCCGTATCTAGCCTTACCTGACCTCCGCCGAAGGCGATCGAGACGGGAGAGTACCTCGACGAGGGCGCCATCTTCATGCACTCGCCGCGCATGAAGTCGGTGCTTCGCACGTCCGTCTCCGACTACGCCGACGCGGAGCAAAGGGTCGTCGAGGAGACGTCGGCGCAGGAGAAGCGGGTGAACGACCAGCTCGCGCCGCTCGTGAGCCCGCGCGGCAAGCCAAAGGAGCGAGACGCCGAGAGTTGGCCGAGAGTTGGCCGAGAGATGGCCGAGAGTTGGCCGAGAGATGGCCGAGAGATGGCCGAGAGATGGCTAAGAGATGGCCGAGAGATGGCCGAGAGATGGCCGAGAGATGGCCGAGAGATGGCCGAGAGATGGCCGAGAGGTGGCCGAGAGATGGCCGAGAGATGGCCGAGAGATGGCCGAGAGTTTGCCGCGCACCCCTCCGCATCCCGAGAGCCGCCCCCTCCTCCCGACCTCCCCGCGCCACAGGATCGACCCTTCGGCGGCCCCGGGTCTGATGGCCCCTCCGCCCCTCCGGCTGCCCCGCCGTCCAAGCCGCCGCCGCGGGTCGACAAGTTTGTCGCGGCGCCCCCGAGGCGGGAGGGTGGGCCCGAGGTGTGCGAGTCGCCCCGCCTCCGGGACAAGGTCAAGCACTTCGAGAAGGTCGGCCTGATCGCGCCCTCGCCACTTTCGGAAGCGAAGTCCCCGCCCGTGTCGCCGCGCCCGGGCAAGGCCTACGCAGGCAAGAAGTGGTGAACTTGGCGGGCGGCGTCCGCGAGGGAGCGGGGGGGGCGCGGAGGGAGATTAGCAGATACCCGCTTTGGGTTGAGAGGGGGAGGAACGGAAGGGCTTTAGGTTACTTGGGGGTGCAGCGAGAAAAAACCTCGGACCCACGTAGACAAGGAGCGCGCGCCAATGGCCGCCTCCGTGACACTCCCACCACCTGTGCACGCTGCAGCAGCAGGTGGGCCGCGGCGCGGGAGAGTTTTAACGAGTTTCTCCCGGCCGGCCGCCTCCTGACACGCCCACGGACCGAGCCCAACAAAAAGTTCAGGCGCGCCGCACTGCTCTCGCCCCTGCTCGCCCCTGCTCGCCCCACTGCTCGCCACTGCTCGCCACTGTCGCCTCGGTTGCCGAGGCTGCCGCGCACCCGCGCCCGCGTCGCTGCGCGACTACAAACTGCACCAGCTGAGCTCGAACCAACGACCAAAACGTCCCCGACACGAACGCTGCTCCCCAACTAGGCCACGCAGGCTCAATGTACCAATGCGTACAATACTGGCCCCTCATAAACCATTGAAACTCACTCATTTGCCGAGGCCACGCGGCGCCCCCCCACGGCCAGCCTACGGCTCTACCGGGTACCCTCCTATCGCGCCACTCGACGCCCCGCGGCCGCCTCCCGCCTGCTTGCGATGCCCTCGCCGGCCGCCGCCGCCCGCGCTCCAGCCTAACCAGCTTTCTGCTCCAGCCTAACCAGCTCTGTGCTCCAGCCCAACCAGCTCTGTGCTCCAGCCTAACCAGCAGCCTAACCAGCTCTGTGCTCCAGCCCAACCAGCTCTGTGCCCCAGCCTAACAGCTCTCCAGCCTAACCAGACAGTGCTCCACCAGCTCTGTGCTACAGCTAACGAGCTCTGCATCTCGCAACACACACATGACAGGGACAGACCAAGGCGCAGGAAAAGGGAGCGGGGCCCGAATCCAAGTGGGACCACCCCGTCGGGCGGAGGAGCTGTGAACTCAGGACCAGTAGGAAGGCTGCTGGCTCCTGACTCATCCCCCAAACCCCCCACCCCCGTGGCCTGAAACCTTACCATTCCACCACCTCACACACACCCCTCTCCTAGGGCTAAGCAGTGCGCGAGCTCACCCGACTTCAGGCGAGGCGTCGACCACTCCTTGGGAATAGACAATAGAACCGTCAGAGGCTGCACTTGTCGCCCATAGAGGCGCGCGGCGCGGGCGGATGACTAGGGGAGAAAAAGCGGAGATCCTAGCTCGCTGGGAGACGTGCGCAACCTAAAGTTGGGAATAGGGGAGAAGTGTCAGTGTGAGGGGAGGGCGTACGCCGGCGTTTTTGCCTTTGAAAAGTAAACTGTGGAGCGACAGAGAAGTCGACGCACGACGGCTAGGCCATATGTGCAAGGGCGCACACTCTGAGAAAGATACGAGTCTATACATGTACATGTCATGTGAGAAGAGTGTATCTAACAGTAGTGCATATGACGGCCATTCCATTCTGGTGATCAAAGGCACATTGGCTGGCTTCAACTTTATGATGCGAATTCCTCTCGCCCCCTCCCCCCCCCCCCTTTCTCTCCTTACATCCCTCCGTTCCCTCGCCTCCATGCTCCCCGCCTTCACGGGAAGCCTCCTCTCCGCCCAACCCACCTCTCCAGCTGCTCCCCTCATAGCTCACTCATTGCGCGGCTCCATTCTTGGCGCTCGCCTGCACACCCGCAGGTAGCGACAGCACGTTGAGCTGCTGCCCCGCGTCGACTGTGAGGAGCTGGCCCGTCACCTTTGCGTTGGAGGTGAGGAGCGGGACGATGGCCTCCGCCACGTCCGCAGGCCGGATCGTCTGCCTACGAGGAGAGACAGAGGGGATTTCTCTCACAGCCCTCTCATGTTCGTGTCATTTGTGCCGTGATGAGACGAGCGGGTGATCTTGTCGCGCATCGAGGCTGCATGCCCTAGTCTCCAAATCTCCTAGGCGAGTCCGCATCTAGCACTGTCTGCCGCATCGGAGCAAGCATGCGGAACTCGTCAAAGTAAGCGCCGAATCGCTCCTCGCCCATCCCCCGGCGCATCCACTCGCCCTCAATCACGCTGGGGCAGACGGCGTTGACCCGGATCCCCTTGGGTCCGAGAGCGCGCGCAAGGCTCAGCGTCAGCGAGTTTAGCGCGCCCTTGGACGCCACGTATGCGATCGACGAGCCTGAGATGCGCAAAGTCCGGAGTGAATGCGATATCGTACGCGAGGCACGACAGCGCGGCGTGTTATCCAGCATCTAGTCCACAAGCCGGTGCCCGCCTTGCCTGCCACGGAGCTCACATTCACCACAGAGCTGCCGGCCGCCATGTGGGGAACACAGGCGCGCGTCACCTGGAATGGCCCGACTGTGTTGATGGCGTATAGCGACTGGAAGTCCTCCGCAGAGAGCCCTTCGAGATCGTCGTGGGCGCAGAACTTGGTCGCGCCGGCATTGTTGACCAGCGCGTCGATACGGCCAAACGCCTGGCGCAAGATAGGAGAGGCAACTTGGGTGCCTGCCACGTGATACACCATACACATACACCTGGAAGTGTGAGAGGTGCCGGAGCCTATGCTACGCGCACGCCAGTCACCTCCATGGCCAGCTGAGCGATGCGGCGGCAGTCGCCGTCCTCTGCGACGCTGCCCTGGACCGTGCGCGCATTATCTCGCCCAACACAGTGCGCCCGGCACACTGCCGCCACGGCCTCTGCCTTCTCCTGCGACTGGCTATAATTGATGACAACATTCCAGCCGCTGCCCGCAAGCATCTCCGCCACGGCAGCGCCAATGTCACCACTGCCGCCTGTGATAATCGCCGTGGGAGCCGATGATGAGGATGACATGGAGCGGCTCAGCACGTCGGTTCTGGAGTGCACAGCACGTCGGCTCCGACGCGCGCCTCGCCGACAGGCGGGCAGAAGACAGGCGGGCAGAAGTTTCAGTCCCCCTGATCGCCGCTCCGCATCACGGACGATCGAGAGACATTGCGTTGCTGCTGCGACCCATGCGGCGCAGCGTGAGGTGCCTAGCGCCGTCCGCGCGGTCAAAGCCTCAGATGGCACGAGTGTCGCCTCAGATGGCACGAGCGTCGATCGGTCAGGGTTTTGCCGCCCTCCCTCCTGCGCTACGCCTATCGTTGCCGCAACAGCGCATACACATGCAAAGTATGGTCCGATCACCACCCTCAGCAGCTGACGATCTTGCCCAGCAGCACACATACCCAATGCATGTGAAGGAGGCACCGCTCGGTAGCAGCGTATACGCCAAGGTGGAGAGAGAGGGCGCGGAGAGTGTCCGCGAGGCCGTGCGCGGCATCCTGTGAGACATCGAGCTCAACGGCCATTCCGCTTTGATGAGATGTAGCCAGCCTTCGGTTGACAAACTCAGACATCGAGCAGATCATGGCAGGCGTATCACCGCAGCAGCGTGAGGATATTGCGTTTGCACAGGACAACGTGCGTCGTTTTGCGGAGCTCCAGAGGGCGTCGCTCTCCGACATTGAAGCTGAAGTGAAGCCCGGCGTCTTTCTCGGCCACAAGAACTTGCCGATGCGCAACGTGCTGTGCTACGTCCCTGGTGTGCGCTTGGCCTAATTAGCGAGCCCAACCCCGCCAGGGCTTTGACTTGTGTGCGCTTGGCCTAATTAGCGAGCCCCCGCCAGGGCTTTGACTCGAGTGGCCTCGCCTGCGCCTACCAGGCGGTAAGTTCCCGATGATTGCCTCGGCCCACATGAGCGTGCTCACCGCCAAGGTTGCCGGCTGCGACCGCGTGGTGGCGTGCACACCTCCGATGCCCGGCACGGGCGAGGTGCCGACACTGACTGTCGCCGCCATGCACATGGCGGGCGCTGACGAGATCTGGATCATGGGCGGGGTGCATGCCATCGGGGCGGCGGTGCACGGCACCGAACGGCTCGCGCCGGTCGACTTCGTTGTCGGCCCGGGCAACGCCTACGTGGCGGAGGCGAAGCGGCAGCTCTTTGGCAAGGTTGGGATCGATTTAATCGCCGGCCCGACGGAAACACTCCTGCTTTGCGACGACTCGGTGGACGCCGAGCTGTGTGCCACAGATTTGCTAGGCCAGGCGGAGCACGGGTACAATAGCCCGGCCGTCATGGTGACCACGAGCGAGCGGCTAGCGCACGCGACGTGCGCCGAGGTCGAGCGTCAGCTGCTCACGCTGCCGACAGCGGAGACGGCGAGTGCCTCGTGGCGCGACTACGGTGAGGTGATCGTGGTGGAGGACGACGCGCAGATGCTCGAGGTCGCCGAGCAGATCTGCTCCGAGCACGTGCAGGTAATGCACCGCGACTGGCGCTACTTCCTCGACAACATGCGAAATTACGGCGCGCTCTTCCTTGGGGAGGAGACCAACGTTTCCTATGGCGACAAGGTGATCGGGACCAACCACACGCTTCCCACCAACCACGCTGGCCGCTACACGGGAGGGTTGTGGGTCGGAAAGTTCATCAAGACGCACACCTACCAGTACATCACCGACAAGGCCGCCTCCGTCGAGATTGGCGAGTACTGCTCCAGGCTTTGCGACTATGAGCACTTTGCAGGTCACGGCGAGCAGGCGAGGATCCGGGTGCGACGCTGGAAGAAGGAGTGACAGCGTGATAGAGATGTAGATATGCAGGTGTAGATCTAGAGGGAGCGGACCGTGAGTTGAGGAAATCGGAGGACGCGACCCACTTCGCCACAGACGGTCCCGCGCCTCGCCGCTAAGTTTGCGGCACGCCCCGCACCGTCCGCTGTGCCGCGTTTTCTGTCCGGAGTGAAAAGTCCAACGCGCTCGTCGGTGACGGTGTCCTCCAACCTGCGCCGCGCTCGGCGAACCTCGACAGCGCCTTCGATGGCATGCAGCTCTTTGCGTCAGAAGCCTGGAGAGCAGCTCCTCGGCTGCTCACACGCTCTGCACAGCTGACACAGCCTACTGTGCAGGTAAGGTAAGGTAAGGTAGATTTCTCCACACACACAAAGTGGTGGGGCAAGGGGGGGCGACCCTCGCCTACTGTGCGGCTACCACAGCTGTGACAGCGATGGGCTCGCCCTCACTGGCCCTCAGTCACTTGTGCTGCGGCTTGTGTGAGCGACACTGCTCGGCGACTGCCGGCACACTGTGAGACCATGGGTGTGAGGTAAAACCACGCTACCAGCGCTTGGTCACATCGGCCCCGAGGTCAGACCCTTCTACTCTGTTAGTGACAAGACTTGTCTACTGGCTGGAGCCGAGCAGGAGCCAGGCGCACAACCCCTGGTCAACTCACGGTCCACACCCCGTAGAGATGTGCTGCAGCCTGCACCTGCAAATTTTGATTTCGTGCGTGATAAGATTGATGATGACAGTAAAACCACACGCGGCACCTGCAATTTGCAAGATTCACACCCCAGCGCCGAGATAACCACACACACGCGTCACGCGCTGCGCCTAGCAATCGCGACCGCCTAGCTTCACTACGCCCACGGCCCTCTAAGCGTGTACGAGAGTACGTTAGTAAGCCGAAGAGGGGTGCTATGTACAAGGCCTGCCCCATGGCCACAACCGCGTCATGAGCCCCGCTGCGGCACACCAAGCGCCTCCTTCCACGCCGCCGTGTTTCCACGCAGGCCCTCGACCGGGTACGCCTCTCTCCGCGGCCTCCCGGACGCGCAGTCCTTCCACGCCATCACCTCGAGCCCGGTCGTGTAGCTGGTCCGCTGCTCGACGCGCCGCTCGATGAGGTCGCGCTGGCCGAGCAGCTCGAGCATGTAGTGGACCTGGGCAGGGAGGGGAGGCGGCGATGAGGGCGGCCGCTGTGCCGAGAGCGGGCGAGAGCGGGCGAGAGTGGAGCAGAGGAGGGGCGGGTCGGGTGAGAGAAGCGCAGGGTGGGAGGCTGCAGGGAAGTGAGAGGCGGCAGCAGGGTGGGAGGCGGTGAAGAGGGGGGAGAGGCGGACCGCGTAATTTGCGACAGCTTGCTTGTTGAAGTAGAGGGCGTTGTACGCCGGCAGCACGAGCTGCAGGCCCACAGCCCAGAGCGGCACGACGTGATTGCCGAGCAGCAGCGCCTGGTAGAGCAGCACAGTCGCGACGAGGATGCCTACAGGACGGTACCGAGAAGGTTCGGGGAAGGCTCCTCGCGCGGTCGCGAAGGGGAGAGAGGCCGGGCGTGCCCGGCGCGCGCAGCCAGGTGTTGAGGTTGGCGTTCACCCGCTTCTCGGTCATCGGCGGGAGGCGGCCGAGTTTGACGAGGGCGAGCAGGAGGTAGTCGACTGGAGGGGTCGAGGGTGGGGGCAAGGGAGTGAGGTGGGGGAGCGAGGTTGTGGTATCGCCGTGGAGGTGTCTCGAAGTGACTCGGGAGTGTCCACACACCTCCGCCCGGCAGCCCGCTGATGAAGAAGGCCTGCCAGTTGGCGAGCGGTCCCCACCGAAGTAGCTGGCCGGGCAGGCCGAGCGTCGGAATGAAGAGCCCGTGGTGGAAGTAGTCAGCGCCCGTGAGCGCAAAACCGCCGACCATGTGGTAGAGGTGAACCGAGTTGATGATGGTGAGCGGCCACGCGCTGGCGGAGCCAAAGAGGGAGGCGTCCGTGTAGACGCGCCCGTCGAGGGCCTGGGCGGGGGGGTCGGGGTCGGGGGGATGTGTGTATAGACATATCCGTCGGACTCGAGTGTCAGTGAAGCGTTTGGGCTAGAGCCCACTCAGGCAAGCCTGGACGGGATCGAGCAGCACTGCGCGCATAGACGTTAGGGCCGTGAGGCAAACCCCAGCGTTGGCGATCGAGTGCACGAGGAACCAGCGAACCGCCGTCAGATCCTTGGAGGTGAGTTTTGGTGCGGCCGCTGCCACAAGAGGAACGATCAAGGCGCGGTCCGCCACAAAGAGGGCAAGCAAGACGAGCACGTTATTGAGCAGGTGCTGTGCGATGTTCGTGCCAAGCTCCATGGCTTTGGCAGTGGAGCGACGACGGCGGCCTGTGCCCGAGTGCTTGAGGACCTTGCTTGTTGTGGACTGATAGCGTTGTGACGTATTTCTGTTTTTTTTGTTAGCCCTCGATGTATGAAACAAACGCAAGGCGGACACACACTTCTGTTTTTTCAGCTAGCTTCACTGTTTTTTTTTGAGCTAGCCTTCTTATGATTTTTAAAATAGCCTTCGTTTTCTGATTTGATTTTTTTTCGGCTCAGCGAAGGACCCCTCATCCGGCCCGCGAGCAGCTTTGGAGAGGGGTGTGTAAAATGTCTACACACAAAAACAACAGGGGCAAAATCACTGATTATGTTTTGGGGCTGCCCGTACAGACCAGAGGGCGCCGCGGCGACACAAGGGCGAGGGGGCAGCCAAGCGAGACGGTGGTGAGGCAGCCTAGAAGGACGAGTCCAGCGCGGGGACGGAGCCGGGCAGGTTGTGGCCCGTGATGAAGGAGATGATGCCAATCATGGCGAGGCGGCCGTTCTTGAGCTCCGCCTTGCGCTTGCGCGCCTTCTGCTCCGCCGAGAGGGCGCCTGCGGAGCACAGGGGCGGGTCGGCCGGCGAGTGCGGCGGCGGTCCGCCGGCGGGCAGGGGAGCGGGCCGGGAGAGGAGGAGGAGGAGGGGAGGGCGAGGCGGCGGGGAAGGGAGATGAGGAGGGGAGGGCGAGGAGGAGGGGAGGGCGAGGAGGAGGGGAGGGCGGGAGGAAGGAGGCGAGTGGAAACAGGGCAGGGGTCGCGTCGAGGAGTCGTCGGGAGTGATCACTCCCTAGATGCATCTTCGCGCCTCTCGGCCGCCTCTCTCGGCTCGGCGCGCACCGGTGAAGTTGAGCGGATCCCAGAACTTGATCTTGGGGGCCCACAGGCCCTGGATGCCGTCAAAGGGCAGCTGCTCAATCTTGCCCGGCACGCCGCCGCGCATGTAGTGGGGCTTCTTCGCCTCCGTCGCCCACTCGAGCGCCAGGATGATGGAGAGGATCTGCAGCTTCCCCGCCTGCGGCACCGCGTCCCACGCCTGCAGGCGGGTCGAGGGGGAGGGGCGGTCAAGCGAGGGTGTAGAGGGGCGTGGGTTGCGGGGGCAGGCGGCGCGAGGCGACGCGAGGCTGCACGCGAAGAGGGAATGGCCGCCACCAGCGTGTGCCGCCACCAGCGTTGGAGCGGGGCGGGCGACGCGGCGGCGGCAGGGGGAGGAGCGGCGGAGCGCGGCACGTGGAGGCGGCAGAGGGGCGCGACGCGCCTGGTACGGGCCGTTGGCAGCCACAGACGCAAAGGTGACGCCCTTTGCGAGCTCGCCCGGGAAAGAGATTTTGGCGGCGCCCACCAGGTAGCCGACCGACGCAAGCTGCGCGCGGCGGGGGCGCGACGTCAGGCGCGGCCGTGCGCTGCTCTTGCTGCCGGGAGGCGTGCGGCGCAGTCTGCAGCGTCGCCCTGGTGCAGTGGCAGTGGCGTGCGCGGGCGCACCATGGCGACGCGGCCGTGCTTCAGCTCGGACGCGCGGAACCACATGACCGCCTCGTCCGAGACCGCCTCGGAGATGCCCAGCGGGTCCCAGATCTGGCCGCCAGTCTCCTCGCCGACGCCCTCCCTGCGCAGAAGGCGGCAGAGGCTGAGCGGCTTGAGCCCCTGGCGGCGGAGCTCGCCGCGCGGCGGCGAGGCTGCGGAACAGTGCGCAAGGGCCGTCTGTCCAGCACGGCAGCGACGCAGCGGCGCAGCGGAGGAGGCTGCAGCGCACATCGAATCGACGAGCGCCATCTTTGCCGACGCAGCGGCGGGCGCGCGGGCGATCGGAGCGACCGGCGCGAGCAGGGCAGGCGCGGCGAGGGAGGAGAGCATCATGGCCATGGTTACTATGGACGGAAGAAAGGTTGTGAGGACGTGTGGGCTCAGCTGCTTCAGCGCGCGGACGAGCGCAGCGACCAAGAGAGCTCGCACTGCAAATGAGCAATCGATGCAAGAAAAACAGGGGGCGCGGGTCAAAATCGAACTGTTTTCGCTATTCAAGTCCTCCCGTCCCTCCCTGGGGTTGTCTGATTTCTTTCTTTCTTTCTTTAAACAACCCTAGTGAACACATATTGGACACACGTTGCACCACCCGTAACTAGATGAGAGCATATTCGACCCAATGTTAGATTTGTTTGGTATTGCTAAAAATCTCCCAATCGCATTGTATGCACTAGACACAGGCCCGGAGCTCACCGCGAAGTGGGAGCGCGCAGTGCTCGGCTCGTCGACTGCTCATCGAGCGGCTTGTACATCGTAGCCCGGGATTGGGACACTCGGCGGTTTCTGGTTCGCGTTCCACAGCTCGAGCGAGAACATCATCAAACTCCATGAACTTCGTCAAACTCCATGAACTGCACCATCGCCGCAGCGCGTGGCGGCGGCGTCCAGTGGATCGTAGATGCTCTCCCCGCACGTGGGGCTGGTGATAGCACCCTCCTCGCCATGCTTGGAAGTGGAGCACTTTCCCTCTTGGTTGAGAGAGAGATTTTTAGCAATACCTTAATGTGATGTTACAATACCAAACAAATCTAACACTCTTGGTTGTGAATTGGTCAACGTCATAGATCCATCGTCACTCTCACTGGGAGACGTCGGCGGTGATGGCGGTCTGTCTGACGCACTTTACTCTCTTGTTTTCAAACAGAATTAAACAAACAGAAACGCTAATGAACACACATTGGACACACGTTGCAAGAGAAGAGTACCACCCGAGATGAGAGGATATTGCACTCGCGGCTTATCTCACCTTTTGGCGTAACTCCGCCCTCCTCGCCGTGTATCTCGGGTCCTCCATTTGCAAAATTTAAATTATTGAGAAGTCCTGGCTGGCAAAGTCAGGACCTGATCAGGACGCGTCCATCGATCGGCGGCGCACGGCCTCCCCGCCCAAACCAGGTCGCTGCCCTCTCCCATTGCCTTCACGCGTGCGGCTCAGCATGGACACTTCGCGACTCACCGAGGCCGCATTCTACGCGATCTTTGTGTGCGTCAGCTCAGGGCTCGTCGACAAGCTGCTTTACAAGCGCAGCGCAACCGCCAAGCAGACGCTCGAGAGCGCCTTGCACCACCTGATGTCCGCACACGGCGTCTTGACCTTCGCGCTGATGCGGCTTCTCGAGCCGGGTCAGCCCTTTGCGTCGGACACCGCACCCACTTCGAGTTTCGCTATCCGAGCCGTCCTCGCTCTCTTCCTTTGGGACTTTGGCTACGGTCACGGCTGTGGAGTTGGGAGCTGGGTGCGTCACCGGCCCCGTATCTCTACGCCCACAAGAGCCATGCCCTCACATCGCTCCTGCCTCCGGCTACGGTCACGGCTGTGGAGTTGGGAGCTGGGTGCGTCACCGGCCCCGTATCTCTACGCCCACAAGAGCCATGCCCTCACATCGCTCCTGCCTCCCTATGGCAGATCCTGCTCAACATGCACCATGCCGGCGCTCTGATCGCGCTGCAGTTCCAGGCGCGCGCCGGCGAGGCGCGGCTCGACACCTTGCTCTTTGGCTGGCTCTGGGCTATCCACGCCTTTGGCCTGTTCGCAAAGGTCCAGAGCAAGCTCGTTGCGTTGACAATCGGCAAGGAGTACTGCGCGAGCGAGGGCCAGCGCTCCGTCGTCCTGGACGGCGCCAAGCACGTTTATTCGCTCGTCACCGTCCGCCTCATCTACGATTACCTGAACGCACCGGGCCAGCCCGGCTTGGGAGTCAGACACTACCAGACCTGGGCCGTGTGCGTGATGCTCACCGGCCGCTACCTCGTCAACGACAACTGGCGCAACGTCGACTTTCTCCGCCGCGTCGAGGCGCCCGGCGCCGCCCTGGTGTTTGTCGACCATCTCCTCTTCCGAGACCCGCACCTCGACCGCGCGTGCGCCATCCTCCTCACCGCCCTCGCCGGCCTCATCACGCATGCGGTCTTCCTGGCGCAGCACCGCCCTAAGCCGGCACGCTACCACGGCCCGGCGGAGCACGAGGAGCTGAGGGATTTTCTCGACGAGGCCACGCCGCGAGTGTTGGAGCGGGAGCAGGAGCCGCCCTCGAGCCGCGTGGCGGCGTGGTTTGCGACGCAAAAGACGGCGCGCGGCGAGGCCTTCGCCACCGCATACCCCGCGCTGGCTGCGATTGTGGCGGGCGACGCCAAGGCGCTGGAGCGGCATCTCCTCGACGACCCTTCTCGCGCAGACAGCCCCAATACGGACTGGCACGACAGCCGCCCGCTGCACTGGAGCACTGGCCTGCAGCGCGCCGACGCCACCTTGCTCTTGCTCAAGCACGGCGCGAACCCGTACGCAATCGACAAGAACACGGGCAAGGATGCCGTGGACAAAGGCTTGACTGGCTTCTCGGTGCTTAGTGGAAAGGCCTGCCCGGGAGAGCTCGGCGGCTGCTCCGACTTTTGGGCGCGGCTCGACGGCTTGTGCGTCGCGCGGTCGCCACCCGCGGTGGACTGGGCGAGGCTCAGCGTGGGGACACGCATCTGGCGCGTCATCGCCAAGTTCTAAGAGAGCTCTGACGTCCGCGCGTCGCGCGCCCCGCCGAGTGCAGCTCCGGTTCCCCGTGATTGTTTTGTTCAGTGCTGTTTGTTCAGTGCTGTCTTTGTTCAGTGCTTTCCTTGTTCAGTGTGTGTGTGGTCAATGTGTGCCCGGAGTATCACACGGGTATCTGAGCAGTCGAGCACTGCGCGCGTTGAGATTGGCAGATGCCCTGAGATCCCACTTCGCGGTGAGCTCCGGGCCTGTGTCTAGTGCATACAATGCGATTGGGTCGAATATGCTCTCATCTAGTTACGGGTGGTGCAACGTGTGTCCAATATGTGTTCACTAGGGTTGTTTAAAGAAAGAAAGAAAGAAATCAGACAACCCCAGGGAGGGACGGGAGGACTTGAATAGCGAAAACAGTTCGATTTTGACCCCCCCCCCCCCCTGTTTTTCTTGCATCGATTGCTCATTTGCAGTGCGAGCTCTCTTGGTCGCTGCGCTCGTCCGCGCGCTGAAGCAGCTGAGCCCACACGTCCTCACAACCTTTCTTCGCACATCCCCGAGCACCTGAGGGGCTATTGCTGCGCCACGTGCGCGGGCTACGAGGCCAGCGACCGCTCGGCCAGGAACGGCGCAGTCAAGGAGACCGAGTACAGGACACGGTACTGCAACATCATGAACTATGCGAACCCAGCAGCTGAGCCGTGGCATACCGCCTGCAAAATGCCGCAATTCAAGGGAGCGTGTGACGCCTGCAAGAACTGCGATGCTCTGGACTTTAGCGTCCCCCACATGGGCCCATTCTACGGGGCGTCGGCCAGGTCTGCGTACAACCATGCCCGGGACCCCGCGGCGCACTCACCCGTCTTTCTCACACGAGCTTCCCGGCCTTCCCCTTTGTCGTTGCAGGGGCGGGCTTTGTATCGGAGAAAATGGCGGCTTTCTTGTGAAGGGAATGGGGCCTTGAAGCTACAGCCCTGGCACCCGCTACGTGTCAAGTACGAGAAGTACGCGTGCGGTGGCACCCTTCGTGGCGGATATGAGTGCTACGACAAGTGCTGCGAGCATCAGGATGCCTACTGCCAGACCTGGGCCAGAGACGATTCGAGCGACGAATTCAAAACGAAGAAGTGCATGTGGGCGCGCGGATGCGATTCGCGTAGGTCGACGAAGCCGTGGTTCCCGAAGCGCAGCCAAACCTAACCCATAATCAACAAGCACAACGTCACCGCCTGCGTGACCATGAGCTTTGAGGGCTTCACATCGCGATGGATGATACCTTGCCATGCGGCTCGAGTGCGCGTGCGAGACCGAGCGTCCAAGGACTGAGTTGCGTCGGCATGTGCTGGCTCCGCATGCCGATCGGCAGCAGCATATCCAGCAGCCCGCGGGCCCTATCCAGCTGAGGAAAAACGACATATCTACCCGCTCCCCCTAAGAAAGAAGGAACCAAACTCCAAGTGCTCCAAAAAAATCACTCGGTTCCTTTTAGTGTGAGTGAGTATTCTTGATACGAAATCACGACGACACACATCAGAGAGCGCCATCTTTGCCGACGCAGCGGCGGGCGCGCGGGCGATCGGAGCGACCGGCGCGAGCAGGGCAGGCGCGGCGAGGGAGGAGAGCATCATGGCCATGGTTACTATGGACGGGAGAAAGGTTGTGAGGACTTGTGTGGGCTCAGCCGCTTCAGCCAAAGAGCGGCGCAGCGACCAAGAGCTCGCAAGCAAATGAGCAAATGGAGGCAAGCATTTTACAACAAAACTCCCTCGCACAACACTGGGCACGGGACTGGCGCGCACTGGCCCTAACACGGAGGCAAGAAAAAATCAGCCGCCAAGTGAGTAAGGGATTGTAGAGCTGTTTAACATTAACTTTGGGCCTAACAGTTGCGCTAGTGTTGGCTGAAATCCTTAACGTTGTTCAAGTGTTCACCCCAGCCCATGCTGTTACTGTTTGTTACTGTTGATACTGTTGTTCAGGGGTCAGCAAGCAGAACATGCCAAAAACCCCGGGTAAAACCCGAAATTACCTGGGGTTTTCCAGGTATTTCGGGTATTACCCGCACTGGACGCTGGAGATCGTCGTGGGTCACTGCCAGGCCTTGCTTATTGAGTTGTTCAGCCGGCCTAACGTTAGCTACTGTTGTTGGGGAACCCCACTGTTGTTCTGTTGTAAGGTAAGGTAAGGTAAGGGGTAAATTTCTCCACACACACAAAGTGGTGGGGCAAGGGGGGGCGACCCTCGCATCTCCACACCCGGACACGGGCAGGAGCCCCACGGCATTCAAAGTGCAAGCACTGGCCCGGTGCACGTGGGTGACTGAGCAGCCTGCCCCTCCCTCCCGACAAACCACAACTCCCGCACACACACAATCGCACTCTGGCCATCGAATGACTCCGAATGACTCACTGTGTATGCTAAGACAGAATCTCCGCCAGTTCTGTTGTTACTGTTAACACTAGCAACACTGTTCAGCTCCCAACGTTAAACTTTACAGCTAAGGGATTGGCAGAGGGAGGGCGGTGTCGGCAGAACGAGGGAGGGCTAGGGATGTTCTTCTTTTATTTCTTGGTACTCGATATGTAATTCAGCAATAGGAGCAAAAAAAGGACGGCCTCGCGTGCGCCACCGCCGTGGGACGGGGTGCACAGAGGAGTGGCTCAGATCCCGCACTCCAAGAACAAGTGCTCCAAGCAAGTACTAGTATACGAAGGTGGTACTTCTGATCTATCTTACTGCTCGTACACAACAGACGGCGGACTAGGTCTCTCAGGCCTCAGCGTACTAGGTGGCCTCTGTGATAGACCAGGCCTCAGCGTACTAGCTGCTGGGATCATTCCCAAACGGGCATCGCCATGCCCTCCTGTAGCACTCTCTCGGAGGAGTCGGCGCCTAGCATGAGCTGCTCCAGCTGCCGCGTGAGCTCCTCCACCCCATCGCCCCCATCGCCCGTAAGGGCGCCGTCACCGCCGCCGCCGCTGCCGCCGGCCCGAGCAGATCCGGTGGTGGCAGTCTGCGTCGTCACCGTGGGGGCGGGCACGCCCCGGTAGGCGCCCAGCTGGACGCACAAGCGCAGCAGGTGGCCCCAATGCGGGTCCGTCGCGAGGACGTGCGGGTTGCCGACCACGATCATCAGGCAGCAAGCGCGGGTCGTCGCGACGTTGAAGCGCTTCGGGTTCTGCAGGAAACCGAGGTTGTGCGCGACGTCGAAGCCAATCTGGTCGGCGGAGGAGCGCACCGTCGAGAGGATGATCACCTTGCGCTCTTGGCCCTGAAAGAGCTCGGTCGAGCCCACCTTGATGCCGCCCTTGCCGACAGGCAGCTCGGCGCGGGCCAAGAGTCTGGAGAGCTTCTGCGCCTGCCTGTTGTACGGCGTGATGACGCCAATGTCCGCAGGCGCGAGCGGCCGGCCGCGCACGCGCAGCAGCGCCTGCACGTACCGCATCACCTGCTGGCACTCGTGGCTGTTGAACCAGCTGGGCGAGGAGCCCTCGCGCTCGTCCTTCCCGACCACGCCGTCGAAGATGAGCGGAAGGCCCTTCGTGTCGAGAGGCTCCTCCGAGTACTCGCGGCCGCAGCAGTGGCGCTGCAGCTCGGCGTCCGCGCAGGGGAGCAGCTCGTCCTCGTAGAAGAGCTCGTTCGGAAGCCGCAACAGCACCTCGTGCGAGCGGTAGTTTTGCACCAGCTTCGTGAGCACCAGCGGGTTGTAGTCGCCGCTATCGCTGCGGCCGTACAGCGGGCGCGCCATCATTCGCTCGAGGAGCGAGGTCGCAAGTCCGAGCTCTTGCGCCCGAGTGTCGTGGATGACAGGCCCCAGCTGCCTGGGGTCTCCGGCGAGCACGAGCTGACCATCGCTGCCGAGCAGCGTCGCGATCGGCGCCACAGCCTCCGGCTCGAGAGCTTGGCCCGCCTCGTCAATCACGAGGAGGTCAAAGTGGCCGCGCGGGACGCCAAAATTGACGAGCTTCCCCGCCATGCTAAGCGTCGCCACCACCACCGACTTGCTGAGGAGCTCGAGCAGTGGCGGTGGTGTGAAGGCACTCTCGCCGTCCGACCAGCAGCTGAGGTCAAAGACGTCCGAGGGCACGTCCGTCTTGGTGCGCGAGTACGAGTTCAGCCGCAGCATCGACAGCGGGTCCCTCAGCCCCTTGGTTGCGAGCCGCGAGCAGAGCAGATCGGCGGCGGTGTTGGTCGGCGCGCTGACGAGAATGCGGAAGGCCGGAGCTGGCGGCGGCGTGTGTGTGTAGCCGCAGCAGGCGACGCTGGGCGGCAGCTTCCGGCACTGGAGGACGAGCTCGACGACGGTGGTTGTCTTGCCCGTCCCGGGCGGTCCGAAAATGCAGTACGGCACCGCGCGCGCCTCCCCCTCCACGACGCGACGCACGGCCTCCGCCTGCGCCTCGTTGGCCCCGACGCTGCGGTTGGAGAAGCGGAGTGGGAAGGTGCTCGTCCGCGGCGGCTTCCGCAGCGACGCGGCCAGCGTACTGGGCGGAAACAGGACGTGGGGCGCGAGCTTGCCCAGCATGGACAGGCCCTGGTGGAAGATGCGGAGCGGACCGCGGTTCATCACGAAGCGCACTTCCACCTTCTGCCCGCAGATATAGCCGAGCTGCGGTTTGAGGCGGAGGAGCACATCCTCCCTCTCGATCAGCGCGGCGCGGCCCAAGTAAACAACCTTGGGCTCGCCCACGCGGTTGACGCGCAGGGTGTCGCCCTTGAGCACCGACGGCCGCTTCTCGGCGAGGCCGTGGACGTGCACCGCGAGCAACCCGCCGCCCCTCGGGTCCAGAGTGACCGCCTTCTCCTCGATGAGGTCGAAGTTGCTCAGGTCGGCGACCAGCTGGCGCTCCTCGAGCCAGAGCAACTTCGCGAACAAGTCGGCGTAGAGAGAGAGCAGCCCAGCGGACGGCTCGGAAATGAGACGCGCCCGCAGCCCCTCCAGCTCCTCGATCGCGCTGCCACTCTCCATCTTGCGCCGCCACTCGGGCTTGATCCCGAAGGCTTGCGTAGGGAGCTTGAGCTTGACCGAGCTCGGAGGCTCACTCGGCGGCGCGATCTCGGTGACCTGCTCCTTGGCTGGTGGCGGGCGCCGACGCTTGGGCCGCTGGTACGGCGCCGTCGCCTTCAGCACGTCAAGCACGTCAGGGTCGCCGCAGCTCACGCTGAGGAACCTGCCGACCGTGAAGTGGGCGCCCTCATCGTCGAAGGTGATCGAGAGGGTCTCGTAGCACATGCCCACATGCCGGGGCGAGCACTCGATGACGAGCGTCACCTCGGCCCCCGGAGGCAGCCGCACGTCGAGCTCGCCGCAAGGCTGGCAGGCAAAGCCCGTGGTGCGCCTGAGCACCTCGACGCGGCGCAGCACCAGCGCCGCGCCCGCCCCGTGGTTGCGCACCGCCACCTGGCAGGTTGCGGTCTCGCCCGGCCGCACCGTCTCGGGCAGCGCCACCCCCGAGACGGCGACACCGCCCTTGTCCGCCTCAATCGTCGAGCGGTTCGCCTCGACACGCCCCGCAGACGCCGCCAGCGCCTCCTGCTTCGCCCGCTTGCCGCCATGGGCCAGAAAGGCGATGGTGGATCCGGCCACTGCCGCCTTCCCCGACCGCAGGAGCTGAAAAAGGACGTCCTGCGCTTTGTGGCGTTGACGTTGGCGACCTGCGGCAGCCTCCTCGGCTCGCCAGGCGGCGAGCCTTCGCCGGAAAGCGTCCTTGTCCTCGCACTCTGCCCGCACCTCCACGTTCGCGTCGAGGAAGGCGAGGAAGGCAAGGGCCGTCTCCCTCGCCACAGCCGCCGCCGCGCCCTTGCCCTTGCCCTTGGCTGCAATCCGCGCCACCGCCGGAACCGGCGCAAGTGCGGGCGGGCTGTCCTCCTGCAACGGAACCGGCGTCTGCTGCGGCTGCGGAATCTGCTGCTGCTCACGCGCCACGAATCGGCGCCGGCGCGACCGGGCAGGCCTGTCCGCAGGGAAGGTGACGTTGACGGCGGTCGGACGGCCGTTGTACTCGCCGAGGTCGTAGTAGATGATGTCGCCGTCGTCCACGAACGGCTGTTTGTTGCCCTCCTCCTTGGCAAAGTTGAGCGCGTGCACGAAGAGGTCGTCGCCGCCCCCCTCGGGCGAGGCAAAGCCGTACCCTTTCTTGCGGTCGAACCACTTGATGGTAGCGGTGTATTTAGCGGCGCTGGCTGCGGCGGCGGAGACGCGATCACCCCGCGAGAGCACGAGGATCTGGTCGAGGACATCGGCGCCGCGGCGCTCGGCCTCAGCCTTCATGGTGGCGTAGAGCTGCGGTAGGTGGCGCACGTCCTCCGCGGCGTAGTCGAGGACGTAGTCGGGCAGCGGACGAGAGGTCCACGCATGCGGCGTCTGCATGAACCGCCTCATGAGCTCTCCGCCCTTGGAGATGTCGATCCCGAGCCAGTGCTGCAGCACGTCTCTGAGGCTCTTCCTCCTGGCGCCCGTGAGCAGCTCGTGCGCGATCTGCGTGTCGAAGAGATTGACAAGGGCGATGCCGTGCCTCTGGAGCACGAGCCGGTCTTGGGCCGCGGCGTGCATGGCCACTGGATGCTGCGATGCGATGATCTCGCCGAGCGAGGACATCCTGCTCACGTTTACGGCGGCCGCAGACGGCACACGCACCACGTCCAGGAGGAAGGGCTGTCCGGTGCCGGTCCCGGTGCCGGTCCCGGTGGCAGCTTGGATGAGTGACAGCGGCGTGTTCGGGTCGTGAGAGTCCCATTCGAGATCGAGACAGAGCGCTGCACTAGAGTTGACGATGGCTTCGACCGCCGCACTCGTCGCCGCGACGTCGCAGCAGTAGGTGAACGCCATGTTGAGAGCCTCGCTGCTGCGACTAGAATGCGCAGCGGCGCCGCTAGCAGCCCGCGCCTGCGGTGACGAGCCAGCACCCGAGGGTTTTACCAAGCTGGGCCCGTTCTTGTCAAAAAAACAACGCAGAAGCATTTGACTAAGCAGCGCTCCAACATCTTCCACACTATATACGTGTGGGTCTTGTCAAGAAGTTGCTCCGCGTGAAAATTTTGAGCGTGACACAAAATTTACGCGCTGCGGCCGCGAGCATGACGCTGCCGTACGACAGCCCGCAGGACTTCGAGGGGTCAAAGCGGTTCGTGTGGGAAGGCGAAGATGTTGGCAACGCTCAGTGGGCGAAACACGCCGCCCCGACGCTCCGCCAGTGCAAGAGCTTGGTCAAGTACACGCGCGAGTGCAACCGCGCCGGCCGCCTCCCCGTCGTCATTGTAGAGAAGGAGGAGCAGCTCTTTCCCGGCGAGAAGGTCGCCTGGTGCACCGACAACTACAGTCTCGGCGCGCTCGAACCGTGGTACGGCGGCCCGGCGCCCGTGTCCACGTGCAAGCTGCTGAAGCAGCAGGACACCGACGCTCGTAGCGGCCGGCAGATCATCGTGACGTCGCTCAGCACGCTCGAGGACTACAACCTCAAAGCCCAGCGCAGCGAGGTCGTCTACCGGCGGCGGTGTGCGCCCCACGCCTGTGCAGCGGCCCGCCGCTACCGCGGAAACCGACCCTCCTTTGCTCTCGCAGGACGCTGCAGGGCCTGTGCAAGACTACCTGGGACATCTCTGCCATCCCCGCGGACAAGATGTTCAACAGCACGGACCCGCACCCGCGTTGGCGCGAGTTTGCCCGGTGCCCTGCCGACGTGGGTTGGTTGGGTGGTCCCCCACTCTGCGCACTCCAGGCCTCCAGATGTTGGTTGGTTGGTCCCGCACTCTCCGCACACATATTGTCTATTACACACATAACCAGACAGCCCCTCCCGACGGGGACGCCACCACCCTCGCCCAGGGATCTACAATGCAAACGTTCAGTGCTGCTCACGATCAACGCCACGCGATCGGCGGGATTGCAATCATCGCTCTGCAAGCTGCGCTCAAAGTGGCTACGAGGTGTGGCACGGGCTGCCGCTCGAGCGAGGCCTTTTTGCGCTGATCGAGTATGGCACTGATGTTTTTCGCGTAGCTCCCGAGCGTGGTGCGGTCGGTGCTGCTGGTCAGTTCGCTGGCGAGCGAATGCGGCAGCGCAGCGCGCACGAACCGCCACGGGCTGCCGCGAGGCCCGGCGCGCGGTAGGCCGATCACTGAGGCAGTCGTTGCGTCCAGTGGTGCGCCAGGTCCGATGAGGTCGCAAAGCACGGGCATCGTGGGCGCCCAGCCTTACTTAGGTCACTCGCAGATCTCGCGGCCCGCGCGACACTTCCGAGAGATTTCTTCGTGCTTTCACAGAGGGGGGGGGGGCTGGTTGGCTGGTCCCGCACTTCGCGCACTCGGGCCCGTAAACAGTTGGTTGGTTGGTAAGGTAAGGTAAGGTAAGGTAAACTTCTCCACACACACGAGGTGGTGGGGCAAGGGGGGGCAACCCTCGCGTCTCCACGTCTGACGACAGGAGCCCCACGGCATTCAAAGTGCAAGGCCCAGTGCGCGTGGGTGAGCGGTGTGTGTGTGTGTGTGTGTGTGTGTGTGTGTGTGTGTGTGTGTGTGTGTGTGTGTGTGTGTGTGTGTGTGTGTGTGTGTGTGTGTGTGTGTGTGTCACGTCACTGCATCCTCCGCCGGTTCCTCCCGTCGCCTCTTCTTTGTTCGAATGTTTTTCAATCCATCCTTCACGAAGCCCTCCCATGTAGCTAGCGTTGGTTGGTTGGTGTGGTCTTTTGCGCAGTGTGCGAGAATAGGGTTGGCAGCTTGGTAAAACCCTCGGGTGCAGTTGGTCGCGGCTTGCAGTGGGACGTCTTTTTCTTTTTTCTGAGCAGCCTTCGATGTTAGGAAACAAAGCAAGGCGGACATGGCATATCGCTCTCGGGCCCACAGACATCGTGTGCCTGTGCGATGAAAAAGAAACTCTAGGCGGACAGAAACTTCTGCAGGCTTTATCCAGAGGCCCACAAGCCGTATATATCGATCTTTCTAGATGCAGAATCGACCGCTCTCGAACTCGAACAAACACGGCGCGCCGCCCCTCGCGCCAGCGCGGGGTCGACCTGTGGGAAGCAAACTCATCTGATTCACGGCCAATGCATGCCCTGGCTGCGGCCCGTGCTTCGCCTCAACATAATCTAGTAGTGCTGCCTGGCAGCCTCGAGAGAAGAGCCAGACTGGCCCGAGTAGAGCTCTAGCCGATCCAATGCGCAAACGGGCGCAGGTCCATGCCGCCCGGCACGTACCAGCGCTTCGGCTGCGGGTCGAACTTGGCGCCGAGCGCCTTGACCGCCGGGTTGTCCTCGTAGCGGTTGCGGAGGTAGGTCCGCGCCCGCGGGATCCACCGGCTGAGCGGCTCAAGCTCCACCCCTGGCGGCGCGTACCATCGGCCGCTCCGGCTCGTCCCATTGGGCGCGTCGGGGTCCCATTCGGCGCCCTCGGCCTTGGCGTCGTCCTTCTCGTTGAACGGGCAATCGAGCCATACGACGCTCGACTTGGTGCCGCGCACCACGACCGGAGCGTAGCGCGCGTCGCTACCGCTGCCGCCGCCGCCGCTGCCACTGCCACCGCCGCTGCCACTGCCACCACCACCACTGCTGCTGCTGCTGCTGCTGCTGCTGCTGCTGCTGCTGCTGTTGCTGCCACTGCCGCCGCTGCCGCCGCTGCCGCCGCTGCCGCCGCTGCCGCCGTTGCCGCCGCTCCGTTGCGACGAGGGCGGCTCCATTCCCTCATCATCCTCGTCCTCCTCGTCCTCCTCGTCCTCCTCCTCACTGGCCTCGCTGTCCTCCTCCTCACCACCACCGCCACCGCCGCGGCGCTTGTGCTCTCTCTCCAACTTTTTCGCCGCGGCTGCCTCTCGCGCGCGCCCCCGCGGCTCCTCCTCCTCAGCTTCCTCGCCCTCGCCGTCCTCCTCGTCGCTGTCTGGCTCGCTCGCCGGCGGCGGCGGGTCTCCACGCGTGCCACCACCGCGCGCACGTCGCGGCGCCCCGCCACGCGTGCTCTCCGCACGCTCGCGCCGGCGCGCCTGCGCCGGCGTCTCTTCGTACGCGGCATCGCCCTCCGCACGGTGGCGCGCCGCCGTCGCCTCGTACTCCTTCACACTCGCGTTCCGGCCCGCGCGCTGGTGGGTCGAGCAGTGCAGGCACTTGAGGATGCCGCCCTTCCCGTAGTCGCCGCCCTTCATCTTGCTCGAGAACGAGTCCTTGTGCTTCTTCGCGCCGCACGCCTCGCAGCGCAGGTAGTCGCCACCGCCGTGCCCGCCGGAGCCCTCACCTCTTCGGCCCGCGGCGGCGCGGCGCCCTCCGCGCGACCTCGCCCTCCACTCTGCCTCACTCCCTTCCTCCTCGTCGTCCTCCTCCTCCTCACCCTCCTGGCCGCCGTCGTCGTCGTCGTCGTCTCCACCGCCACCGCCACCGCGCGCAGCGGGTTGGCGGAGGGCTCTGATGAACTTGGGCATCACGCGCTGCTCCTTGTCGCCGTCGTCGTAGTCGATGTCATAGGTGCCGTCCGCGCGCGTCGCGGCGACCGACCCCGGGAACCAGCCGGGGCTGCGCGCATCGCCGCTGCTGCTGGCCTTGTACATCGCCTTGACGCGCTCGCCGACGCGAAAGGCGCTGCGCCGCGCCGAGCCACTCCCCGCGTGCGCGTCGCCGTCAACGCCGGCCTCCTCCTCCTCCTCCTCCTGACTTCCCTCCTCCGCCGCCTCCTCCCCCTGACTGCCCTCCTCGTACTCATCGTCGTCGTCACCCGCCGTCTCCTCCTCCTCCTCGTCGTCGTCGTCGTCGGAGATCTCGATCGTCTCCGGCGCGGCGGCGGCGGCCACCGGCCGCTTGCCTCGCCGCCCCTCTGACGGTGCGGCGGCCGCCGCCGCTTGCGTCGCCGCGGGGGGCACCGGCCTCTTGCCTTGCCGCCGCTTGAATGCGTCGAGGGCGTCGAGGTGCGCGAGCCCCTCCTCCGGCTCCCACGTCGTCTCCGCGTAGCCCTCCCACTTGACGAGGTACTCGGTGGCGCCGCGGCGGGTGGTGCGCGCGTCCAGGAGGCGCTCGACGGTGTACACTTCCGACTCCTCCGCGGAGGTCGATAGCGACGGACTCGCCCTCGCCGTCCGCGACGCCCGCGCACCGCGCTGTTTTGGGGACCGCCCGGCGCGGGCCGTGGACGGCTCGGACTCGACCTTCGCGAGCCACTCCCACTCGTCCCCAGCGTCCGTGCTCACCGGTAGCTCGGACTCGTCGAAATCGAACTTGACGCTCATGCTCGACGAGCTGGCGTTCACCACCGTGCCGATGAACGTCTCTCGCAGCCCGGTTTTTTCGTCGGTGATGTACGTGACCGCGACCCGTTGGCCAACGGCCTCGCGTGCGGAACGGCCCTTGAAGAGAACCCTATTCATCCAATCGGGCTGCGCCGGCCGGGCCACGGGCGAGGCGGGCGGCCCGCCCTTGTACAGGCGGATTCCAACGCGTTGTGAAGAGGCCGCTGCTGCCTCTTCGTCCTCGTCGTCGTCCTCGTCGTCAATGACACGACGCTTTTTCGGCGTAAACTGCTGCGTGGGCTGCGTCATCGGCGACTCGTCCGAGTCGCTCATTTTTTCGCGTGGCAGCCAGCGCTTCGAAATGAAGAATTCTGCGAAGGGTGTACCTAACTCGAGCCCTGATACAAGAATTCTTCGACAAGCCCCTCTCACAGCAGACTGGCACGAACTAGCACCACAAAAGGCACAGCAGACAACGGCCCCTTATGGGCCGTCGAAGAGGCCGTCATACTCCTCCGGCCTCGCCCCCCCTTCCCAACCCTCCCCTGGCTAGCCCTCGCGCAGCAGCTTGGCGTCGATGGTCTCCTGTTGCACTCGCGGCAGGTGCACGTGCTCAAAGAGGATGAGAGACGGCCGCGGCCGCGGCAGCGGGGCACCGCCGCCCAGAATCTTGCCCTCGGCCCCTTCGGCGTCGATCACCAGAATATCCACCTTTCCTGACAGCCATGGCTGCATCTGCGCCCAGAGGCCAGCGAGATCGACCACGGGCACGGTCTCATTGTTCTGCAGCTTGCTGCGGCCACTCGCAGGCCTCAAGCTATGAGAGATATGCATCAGCTTGTTGCTCTCACCGTGCCCCAGCTTCATCACCATCCATGTCGACGCATCGGCCACGGCGCCGCGCAGCGGAACCACGTGCGGCCAGCGGGCATAGTTCTGGCAGAGCTTCGAGAACACGTACGAGACAGGTTCGACGGCAACTCCGCGCCAGCCGCACATGGTGGCGTACGACCACACCGGGTCGCCTCCGACGGCGCAACCGTAGGTGTTCTTGCCACAGTTGGCGCCAATCTGCACAAAGGAAACGCCACGCAGGTCAGCGGGCAGGTACCCCTTTCCAGCGAGGTCCTCCCAATTGATGAAGAGTGGCACCTGCCGCGCCGGCGGGTCGCCCCACAGCAGGGGCAGCGAGAGCCGGCCGCTGGCATTCAAGCACGGGAGCGGGTGGGCTGGCGGCGGTGGCGCCTCTTGCTTCGAGCATCCCGTCAGCGTTGGCCATCTTGTCATGACGCTCCCGACCGACAGCAGATGGGTAAACCAACCAGGTCCGTGTCGAGTGTTGTGCGCGCCACCCAAGAACCTAGGTAGGTGCGCGGATCGGCTATTTATTGCAGCCACGCATTTTACCTCGTTCTCGAGAGCTAGAGAAGGCGGCCTTCTCTCGAGGTCTCGAGATACACAAAGCGGCCAACAACTCGCTCCCTCGTTCCCCTCCCTTAGGCGCACGGCAGGCAAAGAAAAGAATCCCCCGTGAGTCCCCCATTGCTCTGCCCAACCATTCGCGGCGAAGAGTAGTAGCATGAGCCGCTGCTCCCTCGTGCCTCGTCCCTCGAGCGCCAGCGTGGTGACCTGGCCAACGACGCGGGCGCCAAAGATGGGCGCTTCGAAGCCATCCGCGACCGGCACAGCCTCACCCTCCTCCTCGCCGTCGCCGGCGGTGCGGGCGCGCTTTCGGGGGAGGCCCGCAATGGGGCACATGGACCGGCGAAGGCGCCGTCGCAGGCGGGTTCGGTCTCAAGCATGTGCGGTATCCGACTTCGCATTCCGGGCAGACTGAATGAGAACCAGAGTGCAGAGAAGTCCGATGCGAACGATGTGAACACCACCCTGCCAAGCACGCCACACCACATAAGGGCCGGAGTGGCGAGTGCGGAGAGGCGAGGCCGCCTCAAGGCGATGATCGCGCTATGCCGCTATCCAGACACTAGGCGGGCGCTGCCCTCCGGCCCGCCGCCGTGCGCGCCGCCCCCATCTTCAGCTCCGCCACCTGGTCGAGCGCGTCGCCGAGCAGCCCCTTGGCCACGCCAAGGTCGCGCAGCTGCTCCACGCCGCCGCTCGCCCGCACCTCGGCGGCGTTGTCGGCCACGTAGCGGCGGCACTGCGCGAGGAGCCGCCCGTCGCCCGTCGTGTGCGCCGCCTCGAGCAGCGGCACGGCGCTCGCTGGCCCGACGCTCTCCTGCAGCGCCTGCGCGCAGAGCAGCTCGAGGCGCGGCACCTGGTACATCTGCGCCAGCTCCCGCAGCACGAGAGCGCGCCGCGCCTGCTCGCCCTCCCCCTCGCCGAGGTCGAGCTGGTCGGTGCAGAGGTAGTCAATGAAGGCGGTGAAGCTGGCGAGGTCCGTCTTGGGCACCGTGATCTCGGCGGCGTCGCGCTCCTTCATGCCGATGCCAAACATCTTCCCATAGTATTCGGACCGCACGCAGAGCAGGTTCTTGCTCACGTGCTCGATGCGCTGCTCCTCCTTTCCGACCACGAAAGTGACCGGGCCGTGCGGGAGGGAGGCGTCACCCCGCATTCTCTTCAGGTCAGCCACGAGGGTCGAGGGCGGCACCACGAGCGGCGCAAAGGAGGGAGGCGGAGGAGGCGCAGCCACGCAGACCTGGCGGAGAGCCAAGTCCTTTGTGCGGACCAGAAGAGTGCTGCCATCCGGGCTGATGGCAACAGTGGCTGGGTGCGAGAACCGCGCCGCGCCTCCCACGCCATCGGCGCTGCCTTCGGCGCTGCTGCCCGCGACAGTCGTCACTGCGCCAGTCGCCACCTCCACTCGCCGGATCTTGTGGTTTGTGAAGTCCGCCACAAACAGCACGCTGCCATCGGGGCTGACGGCGACGCCGGCTGGGCACGCGAACTGCGCCGCGTCGCCCACGCCATCAGAGCCGCCCTGGGTGCCGCTGCCCGCGAAAGTCGTCACCGCGCCCGTCGCTACCTCCACACGCCGGATCTTCTTGTTCCAGCAGTCCGCCACAAACAGCACGCTGCCGTCGGGGCTGAGGGTGATGCCGGCTGGGCGGCAGAACTCCGCCGCGCCGCCCACGCCATCAGAGCTGCCCATGCCGCCGCTGCCCGCGAGCGTAGTCACCGCACCTGTCGACACCTCCACACGCCGGATCTTGTTGTTGCCCCATTCAACAACAAACAGCGCGCCGCCGTCCGGGCTGATGGAGACGCCGCATGGGGCATTGAACTGCGCCGCGTCGCCCACGCCGTCCGCGTCGCCTTCTCCGCCGCTGCCCGCGAGCGTAGTTACAGCGCCAGTCGCCACCTCCATCCGTCGGATCTTGTGGTTGCCGTGGTCCGCCAAAAACAGCGCGATACCGTCGGGGCTGAGGACAATCCCGCGTATTTCCTCGCAGGTCGCGGCGGTGCGGATGCGCCCGGCCGCCGACACGTGGAGCAGCGAGTCCTTTGTCGTCACGTACCAGCCGCCCGCGCGATCGCTTGCGACAGCACGCAGCTTTTGAGATAGAGGGCCGTCCTCGCCCTCGAGCGCCAGCGTGGTGACCTGGCCGACGACGCGCGCGCCAAAGATGGGCGCCTCGAAGCCACCCGCGACCGGCACAGCCTCGCCCTCCTCCTCGCCGTCGCCGGCGGTGCGGGCGCGCTTGCCCGAGGACATCGACATGCGCCGTGCAAGCCCTGAAGGCCGGCGTCAGCGGGTTCGGTCCGGAGCATGTGCGGTATCATCAAGTCGTTTGTTGATACTCCGTGTTGTCTGCACCCCTTAGTACAAATCTGCCAACGTAGACTGCAGACGCCCCTTCGCCGCATGCCGGGCAGAATGTGAGTGAGAACCGCAGAGAAGTCCGATGCGAACGATGTGAACACCACCCTGCCAAGCACGCCACACCACATAAGGGCCGGAGTGGCGAGTGCGGAGAGGCGAGGCCACCTCAAGACGATGATCACGCTAAGCAGACACTAGGGCGCCGCCCTCTGGCCCGCCGCCGTGCGCGCCGCCCCCATCTTCAGCTCCGCCACCTGGTCGAGCGCGTCGCCGAGCAGCCCCTTGGCCACGCCAAGGTCGCGCAGCTGCTCCACGCCGCCGCTCGCCCGCAACTCGGCGGCGTTGTCGGCCACGTAGCGGCGGCACTGCGCGAGGAGCCGCCCGTCGCCCGTCGTGTGCGCCGCCTCGAGCAGCGGCACGGCAGTCGCCGGCCCGACGCTCTCCTGCAGCGCCTGCGCGCAGAGCAGCTCGAGGCGCGGCACCTGGTACATCTGCGCCAGCTCCCGCAGCACGAGCGCACGCCGCGCCTGCTCGCCCTCCCCCTCGCCGAGGTCGAGCTGGTCGGTGCAGAGGTAGTCGATGAAGGCGGTGAAGCTGGCGAGGTCCGTCTTGGGCACCGTGATCTCGGCGGCGTCGCGCTCCTTCATGCCGATGCCAAACATCTTCCCATAGTACTCGGACCGAATGCAGAGCACGTTCTTTGCGACGTGCTCGATGCGTGTTCCCGGGGCATAACCCCCATCGACACCGCCTTCTTCGGCTACGACTCGTCCAACGACACTGCCCTCGTCACCGCCGCTCGCAGCGCTGGCGGCGTCTACTCTGTCACGCTGACGTCCGATCAAGGCGCCCTTGTGTGACTCCTCTGGCTCGCCGCGTTAAAGTGGCGCCTGTGTGTGACCAGCCCCAACCCCGGCAAGCGCCCCCCGGCCGCTGGGGCTGCGAGGCGGCCGGGTGAGCGCGCGCGAGACGCCATTCTAGATGTAAGGATGCCATTCTATAATCAGGGAGTTTTGTTGTAAGATTCTATAATCTAGAATGGCCAGGTAGGGCTGAGACCGCGGAGGCAACAAAACACACTAGGGTTCGGGAGAAGGCTAGGGTAAGGGAGAGAGTGCCTGACGGGCTTCGGCCCGACGCTGTGCACGTGCCAGCGCGAGTCGCCTTCGCCGACGAGCCGTTTCACTCACTTCGCCCTTCTGGGAAGAAAAACTCTGTCGTGGGGATCCGGGGCAGGGGCGCTCTCGCGTTGGTCGGGACGCTTTACGCGCGGCTCTCTCACGGCTGCTTGTGATGCAGACGCGACGACGGCATCGTGTCGAGACGCGATGGCAGCGCAGCTCCATCGCCAATCTCGCCGACGACTCAGTCCTTCACATCTGCGCGCTGCTCAGCGATCCTCTCTGTCCGCGCAAGTCGTACAAGTCCATCCCCGCGATGAGTGCTACCTGCCATGGCTTCCATACGCTAATCTCTCCGCTCCTCCACTCGCTCCGCCAGACCATGCGTGCGCTGCACAGCCTCGATGGCTTCGTTGAGCATGACCTTTTAATTCACGTGCTCCGGAAGCCGTGCCTCCGCTTCCACGGCTATCGCGGCGAGAATTGCGCCATCACACCGCCGTGCGGCTCGGTGTTCGCACAAGACTCTGGCGAGCCGATTGTGTCATGCCCGCGGGACAAGGCCGAACGGATGCTCGCGGCGCTGCTGCCGCTGCCGGCCCTCTCTCACTTGCGCGCGCTCGTGCTCGGCGTAGCAATCGTTCACGACACTTGGCTCACCAATGGCAGCTTTGCCCATCAACTTGTGGCGCTCGGCCTGGCGACGCAAGGCGGAGCCATGCAGGAGATGGTAGAGCGACGGATCGAGCAGCAGTACGGCAGCCTAGATGCTAAACACACGCCCCTCTGTTCCGACGAGCGCTATTGTACCTTCGCGCTCCCCAATGCGATGCTGCAGCACTGACGCCGTTGGTATCCACAACGCAGGCACGGCTGCTGCTTCGAGGCTCTCTCGCGCTCGGCCACCCGCCGGCTACATATATCTCTTTGAGTGGAGCAGTGATTGTTGATGACAGGTCTCCCGCGTGCTCGGCCACCTGCCGGCCGGCTCTCTGCCACGCCTCGCGAAGCTCAACCTCGACGGCACCCTGCTGACCGCTTCGAGCCGCGGCCGCCCGACCGGGATCCGCGCGCTCTCCTCCGCGCTGGCGAGGGGCGCGATGCCGCAACTCGCGACGTTGCGCTTGTGCCAGGCGCACCACTCTGCGCGAGAGCGCCGAGATGAGGCGAGACGAGCCGCGATGAGCCAAGACTACCCTTCTCTCTGACGGACGGCGGCCGTCGTGCACCAGGCGGCGCTGCACGACGGTGCGGTGGAGCAGCTCGCGCGAGGGCTGAGCGTCGGCGGCCTCGAGCGCACCTTGCGCGTGCTCCAACTCGACGACAATGAGATCCACGAGCTCTCGCCGCTCTCCGGCTACTGCCAGCTGCGCCGCCGGGGCGCGGCGAGATGACCCGCGAGATGACCCGAGATGGCCCGAGATAGGCTGTCGGTTGCGCCACCTGTCCGCGGCTCGCAACCCGCTCGACTTCGACAGCCTCGGCCGGACCCTCGAGGCGGGTGCGTTTCCCGCGCTCCGTTCGCTGTACTTCACCGCGTGGCACATCCCGGCCGGCGAAGAGGGGTCGGCAGAGGCGGCCGGCCGGCTGGCACTCAAGGCGGCGTGTGAGGCGCGGGGCGTGACGTGCCATTGCGCGCTCTTGGAAGACTGAAGACACACGCTTGCGGGGGGAGACTTTGGGTCTTGCGCGATGAGAGGTTGAGCCGCGAAGGCCAGGTGGCTGTGTTGCTCGCAGTCGCACTCGCGCCATTTCGTCATATAGGCTTGTTCCAATTCACTCTGACATTTGTGTAAAATTAACATGGCTGTGAATAAGAGGTATTTTCTTCTCAATTGGTCAATAAGCTGTGTCCTTCTGTTTTCACGCTGCTCAGCACGCCCGCCGGTTAAGCTGCGGTGCAAAACTCTTTTTACCACCTTCAAGTACACCCCCAAGACTCCCCAAAACCGCCCAGGATGAGCTCCTGAGGTGCCAGTCCGCCCGAGATATGACCGGTTGAAGTTGGGGTTCCACGGTCAGGACGTGGAAGGTGCTGAACTGGATGGGGGTCAGCCAGGGAGGCTGTTGTGGCGCACCGGACCGCCCCCCAGCACCGTGCCCCACCCAACTGCATCCATGGGAGTCACAAACGGTGCTACACTCGCGGCTGCAAGCACTCACGACACTCAAACCCACCACCTGCCTCCTACCCTGTACGAGGAGCCATTTCACCCGTGCAACATCTGCACAGGTGTACCGCCGACGCTCAAGCGCCTGGCCCCTACTAGAGTAGTCTTGTGGGACCCACAAACGACCAATACATCCACTCGGGGCTGCAGCATGTGTCCGGGGTGGGGCATCCCCGTGAAGCAGCCAGCAGGTGCCGGACACGGCGTTGGCCGTCTTGGACCGAGATCAGGGCGCAACTGCCTGTCTCATGGGGCTGAAGGACCGTCATGGGGTCGGCTTTGATGCTGCCAATCAGTCGGGTCGATCCCCAGCGAGATGCGTTGCGGGTGCTCGGCGTCGCCTGCTTGAGTGGCCTAAACGCACTCGCGGGAGCCAGAGAGCAAAGGTGTGCGCGAATTGAGGCTTCTGAGCAAGCCCAGGCAAGCCACAGGACCGGCCATGTGCGTGGGTAGTCGAGCGGTGGCCGGAGGCAGCCTCCAGGGTAGGTAGGTAGAACGTCCAGACTGGGAGAAGGACACAGCTTATAACAAGGCTGTGAACTCCACGCGCCCCGGCGCAGCGAACACAAAACGCGGGCCACTCGGCCACCGCCGCTGCGCCCGACGATGTCGGATGCTCTCCAGCGTTCTCCGGGCAGTCGACGCCAGCGCCTCCGCCTCCGCCGCCGCATCGCGCTTCCGGCGCTGCTTCCGCCGCCTCCGCCTCCGCCTCCGCCTCCGCGGCTGCCGATGCTCAACGCGGCGTGGGCGCTGTGGTGGCTCCACCCCCCAAAGACGGGCACGTCGTTCCGCGACTCGGTGCTCGACTACCCGTGGTCTGCCTATCGCGACACCACTTGGCCGCAAGGTTGCCACCAGGTGCTCGGCCTCGACATGACGGATCGGATCCAGAGGCCGGGCGCACAGGTGGTCGCCATGTTCCGCCAGCCCGAGGACCGGCTGGTGTCGGCCTACTTCCACATGCGCGACCTGCTGCGCAAGCCGCGGCCCAAGGGCGTGCGCGGCCTGCCACGGCTCGAGTGGCCCCAGTCACCCGTCGGCTGCTGCTGGAAGGACTGGGGCTGGGAGCCCTCCGTCTTTGTGCGTGTGCACAAGGACGTCGCGGCGGCGGTCCCTCCGGAGAGGGCGCTCGCCCGCTTTACAGGCTGCATGACCAACATGGTGCTTGGGTACGGCTGCATGTCGCAGCACGCAACCTCGCCCGCCGACGCGAGGCGCGCTGTCGAGCAGCGGCTGCGCCACTTCCTCTTCGTCGGCGACCAGGGCCAGTGGAACATGTCGCTCTGCCTCTTCAACGCGATCATGACCGGGCGGCGCTTCGTCCTGCCGCGCCAGCTCGCCAACTCGCGGCCCACCTCGACCAAGCTACTGGACCCGGCGAACCCAGCTGGCTCCGCCATCGCCACCCGCGACCCGATCGACGGCGAACTGTGGAACTACGTCCAGCGCCGCTTCCGGCGCGACGTGCGGCGGCACGGCGTCTCGCCAGAGTGCTGCCCCGTCACCTCGGACCCGACCGCACTGCCGCAGCTCGGACCGAGTGGCTGCACGAGGTACCCTCTCCAGCGGCGGCCTCACGCCCCCCACAGCAAACCGGATTTTGCGCCAGTGCGATTCGTCCTTTCCACTGAGGGCACGAGCTGAAAATTGAAATAAATAAATAAAAAAAACGCACACCTCTACTGTGAGATGGGTAAAAGGGAAAAGGTCCCCGCCTGTGGGGTCTTTGTGCAGGGTATTGAACGATGAGCGCCTCGCGGTGCCAGCGGCCTGGCCGTCTCCACTCCATGTGCTTGCGCGGCGTGGATGAGAAGAGGGTGAGGCACAGCGTCGCGTTGTGGTCGAGCGCGATCGTTGGGAAGCTACACGCGTGGCATGCCGTCGGCGTAGGCGGAGCACAGCGCATGCGCGCGGGCCGCGTCCGCTTCGGGCGTGCCACGTAGCTTGTCGTCGCGCCCCATCTCGTCGAGGTACGCCTGCAGCATCTGGCACGAGCGGCGCCGCGCGCGCAGCCATGCAGCCGCCGTTGAGGAAGCGGAAGAGAGTGCCCTTACGCAGGCGCTCCGCGTCCGTTGCACCCTGCGCTGTCCCACTGCCGCGCCAGCGTCACGTCGCACGAGCGCGCCGCTCTGTCGCGCGCGGCAAACTGCTAGCAGGCGGCGAGCGTGTTGTTTGCGTGCACCGTGCCGCTCCATGTGTGCGGCCGCTTCAGCGTAGCCCAGGTGCGTTCAAAGTTGAGCACGACTCGGCTGCACTCGTGTACCAGCGCGTCTGCCCGGCCGACGCGCAGTTGGCAGTGATTCCGCGACGCGTTTCTCAGCGTGCACGGAAAGTTCTCGCCGAATAAGTTGGGTGGAGGGCGGCGGAGGGGCAGGCGGCGGCTGCGATGGCGGCGGCGGCAACGGCGGAGGAGGGGCAGGCGGCGGCTGCGATGGCGGCGGCGGCAACGGCGGAGGAGGGGCAGGCGGCGGGTTGACGCGGCGGCGTCGGCGGCGAACGTCAAGGTCGGCAGGCCGGCGACCGTCGCGCCGGCGGTCGCCGCCGCCGCAAACGTCGTGGCGCGGGCGTACGCGTCAGTCGCCTGGGCGGCGGCGGGGTCGAGGACGCCGTCGAAGCTCATCGTCACCTCGAGGACGGCGCCCGTGGCCGTCTCCGACAGCCGCCGCCGCCAGAGGGCGAGGCGGCGGCCGGGCGGCGCGTCGAGCACGGCGACGGTGAGGTGGCACGCGGGCGTGTCGGTCGCGAGACAGCCCTCGGTCGAGAGCGCCGCCTCGATCTCGCCGACGCGCGCGCGCGCCGACGCCGCACTCTCCTGCACGACGAGGCGTAGACGCACCACCGCCGCCGTCACCTCGACGAGCGCCTCGCCCGGCGGCGGCGATGGAGGTGAGCACGACTCCTCGAGCCGGCGGCGGGAGGCCCGGGTGACCTCGTCGGTGCCCTCGTCGTGGGAGGCCGTCGCGGAGGTCGAGGTCGCGTCCGCTGTGAACTTGAATTTGCGCCCCGTGAGCGCGGTGAACGTTGCGGGGAGGCGCTTTGGTTTCGCCGTAGCGGCTGAACTTGAACGACGTCGCGAACGGCGAGGGCATGACGTAGTCCTGCCACACGCCCTCGATCGAGCCCTCCGCCATGGCCTTGGTGGTCATGTGCTCGCCAGGCTGCGGCTGCGGGTCAACCGCCCCGTCCACCCCGACGTCAGAGCCGTCAAAAGACTGCCCGATGAGGCCGTGGGGCGCAACGTCCAGGCTCCGCTCCGGACGGCGGAGCTCGAGGTGTACGTCGAGGCGCACCTGCGGGCGGGGCAACCTGGGCTCAACCCCAATGTGCTTCGCCTCCGACTTGCTCCATAGCGCGAGGAGCACCGCACGGTACAGTTGGCTTAGGATGGAACCTCGAATCCTCGTGGCAGACCCCAGGCTGCCAGTCAACTCGTGCAATGGCTCCGCGCCGCACGCGAAGCCAGGGGGGGTGTTCGGATATGTGGCGGGGACCGTGTCGCATGCGGAGACGGACGGATGCATGCGGCGCGATCTCGCGCGACTTGAGTTGAGCGGTCGTAGAGCACCCTCGAAAAATGCTGACTCCGATGACCGATCCCGATGTGCGCTCGCTCGCACCCTCGCACGGGGCTACATGCCGGCCTCTACATACAAAATCCCGCTCACGGCAGCAGCCCGTGGCCTCACGTCATACAATCGAACGGAACATGGCGAGCGTGCTCAATTTCGCGCTCTCGTGGCTCGCAGATTTCGAGCAACACAACGCGTCCCGAGTAGCGGCGACGCGCGCCCTTCGAAGGCGACGAAGGGCAATGCAGCGGCCGGCAAGCGGCCGCCGGGGCCAGACGGGGCCTCGTGAACAATCCCTGAGTGAGGGCGCGTTTCGCGGCGGGGCGGCGGCGTGGGCCGGGCAGGCGTTGCGGCGGCTGGTGCGGTTCGCGCGTGGCTGTAGAGCGGGGTGGGTGGGCTCGCGGCGCTACACACAATCTCAATCTCAACTGGTCTGTGGCGGGTGGGTGTGTTCGACCTTCGCGTGTGGCGTTTACTGCGCTGGTGGGGGCTGATTCCCGTGATGGGACTTACTTACTTACTAAGTAAGCTCTCGGCGACGGCGCTGCTGCCCTCGCCCGGCGCGCCGACGGCGCCCTCGAAGCGGCCCAATCACGGTGCCAGGCTAATACCAGCCACCACCAGCGGGAGCGCGCCATCGTTGGCAGCCTCGAGCCTGCACGGGCTCCCGATGCATTCTGCATCGGGCAGAAACATCCGGCACCACATCTCAGGTGTGGGTGGCGGCATGACAAATGGCTGCCCTCCAAGGAATACGTGGTGCAAGTGCTCAAAGGCGGATGCCATGGTGTGCTTCGTGGACACATCCGCCGAACTTGCGAGCTGCGGGTTGCATGCCGTCTTCCACGATTTGCACACCGAGCACCATGGCTCCCCGCTGCGGTTTGCATGGCGGCAACCGCCACAGGCGCACGCATCCTTGTCGCCGCGCTTGGCGCATGCCAGCATTTTCTCTGTGCAGAGCAGCGGCGTGCTAAGTTCATGCCACCGGAGCGGCCCTTGATGGCATGTGCCGTGAGCGCCAGCGCCCGCGAAGTGCTGATGAGCTGCGAGAAAGGCGGCGCGCCCTCGGGAGCGGAGCTGCTCGCGGGACACCACCAGCTGCGCGCAGCAGAAGAAGGCCACGTCAGGTCTCGCACGAGATGCGAGCAGCTCGCGGAGCCCAAAGGCAGCGAGCGTGTTCCGCCAGCACTGCTCCACCAGCGGGACGACGTCGCCGTGTCTCCTCGCAAAGTAGGTCCATGGGCGCACGATGTAGAGAGGATTGAGCGTCGCCCACGCGGCGTCGGGCCGCACACAGCCAAGCCACTTGCGCCAATCCGGATTGTGCTCTTCTGGGTGGGCCTGGACGAAGGCGATTTGCTTTGGCAAATCCTCGTAATGCTCCAGCACGAACTGGATGTACACGCCACCCTCCCAGCCGAGGTTGGGGCTGTAGTGTGGCAGGCTTGCGTTGTGGCGCTGGTAGACGTAGAAAGTCACGTGCTTGTCATGCCGCATCCACCTGGGCAAATCGAGCGGATCGTACTCGTTGAACGCTGCCACGACCACCACCATGTCCGTGGTCCAACGCGACTGCGATCGCGCGATCAGTGCCCCAGCCGGCGGGGCGATTGCGGGGGGCGGCGCGCGGATCACGTGTGGCATTGAGGTATATTGCGATCTTGCTATTTTTTGCTCTCCCCAGTCTTGTAACCCCCGCCACGTGGCCTCCCGCCCCCTGGCGCAGAGACGCACGCGCAGCGCACAGCGCTGAGAGCCGCAGTTTTTACCCTACGCCTAGGCTATGGGCCGCCACTGGTAGGTTGAAGTGTGCTGAGGTGGTGGCACTGGCTGAAGGTTGGGCTGACTGAAGGTGGGGCTGAGGGTTGGGCGTCTCGGTGGACGCTCGGCTGGCTGGTGTACTCCATGTACACGTCATGCACCGTCAGAAGAATTCAAGTGCTTCAGCAGGAAGCAAAGTGCCATGAGCAGGTTCAGGGCGGAGAAGAGTGTTGGGAGCACTCCACCGGTTGCGATATTGCGCGGCGGCATCTGCGGCGGCGGCGGTGGCCTTGGTCGCTCCATCACGAGAACCGGCGCGGCAGCCACCCCGTTTGCAAAAATGAATATACGACACCGCATGATGCCGTGGGCGTGCTTCTGCCTTGCAAGGCGGCTGTCCACCAGTGATGAGGCGCATGAAGTGGGATGACCGTCGAGCGCCGGGCCTGTGGGCGCGCCGCCGCGTCGAGGGCGCGGCCGCTCGAGGCGGCCATCGCGGACGAGGCGGAGGCGCTCGAGCTGAAGAAGGGCCTGCTCGACGCCATCCGGGCCATCGAGGAGATGGAGAGCGGACCGGGCCTGTGGTGAGCGCGGGGCCAACATGCCGATGGATGCTTGTGGGTGAGGTGTGGTGATGATGTGGTGGACGACACAAACGCGTTTGGGCTGGGTGGTTGAAGGGAGAGTGGGGACAGGGCGGGGACGGCATAAGCGACGAGAATGCCATGCTCGTGACCGAAGGCTACGGCCCCGTCGTGACTAGCCCCGTACACGCCGCTTTCGTGGCGGCGGGCGCGGCGGCGGGCGCGGCGGCGGGCGCGCGGCGGCGGCGGGCGCGGCGGCTGGCGCGGCGGTGGCGCACGTGCCCGCGGCCGCGCACTCGCGCTCTGCACGCTCCAGCTGCCGTACTCCGACTTGATGTTGATCTGCCCGTCGAGACTGCCGTCGACGCGTGCATGGTGAAGCGCACGGTGGGCCGCGCCGGTGCGCTCGGTGTGTCCCATCAAAGCTGATGAAGGACGCCTCGCGCACCGTGAGCGGCTTGCCGGCCTTCATGCAGCGCTCCGCGTCGCGGAGCCGACTAGCGTCGTCTCGCTTGAATGCCGTTCCTCGCTCCTCTTCTTTGGGTCTTACCTACACAAATCGCGTCATTTTTCTTCGTGCACCTCCTCAACCTCGCTCCGTCGACGACGGTGGCGCCCATTATGAAATTGTCCTTGGCCCTGCCGCCGCTGCTGCTGCTTCTTCGCGACGCGCACGGGGCCCACCCGCGGCTGGCTGTCGCGTCAGCGCCGCGGTCGGAGCAGCTGCGGCTGATCCCGCGGCCAGAGCGGCTGACGGAGCTGCTCAGAGTGCCGGAGCGGCTTCGCGGCGGCGGCGAGGAGGCCGAGGAGGCCAAGCCGGCGCACGAGGTGCAGAGCAGAAAGCGGCTGACCGTGGCCGAGACCGAGGCGGCCGACCCGTCGTCGCTGATGCTCAGCGCCGACGCGCTCGAGTCGCTCGGCCTCGCGGGTGGCGAGCCGGTGCTGCTGCGCGGCGGCAAGCAGCGCAAGACGGTTTGCGTGGCGGTGGGCTCGGAGAAGGGGCTGTCGGAGGACGACGTCAAGCTCTCCGCCGCCGCTCGCGCCAACCTGCGCCTCTCCGCCGGCGACGCGGTCGTCGCGACGCCGATGCGGGACCTGCCCGAGGCGGAGCGAGTGGAGCTGTGCCTGATCAGCGAGTCGGCGGCGGGGTTCGAGGGCGGGTTCGAGGAGCGGTTCGGCGGCCTCACGTCCTACTTCAAGGACATGGGCAGGCCCGTCACCGAGGGAGACGTCATCGAGACGGAGGTCGACGGCCATACGCTGCGCTGGAAAGTGTGTGGCTGGCGGAGCCCTCCGCCTCCTCCCCTCGACGCGCTGCCCCTGCCCGCGCCCGCTCCGCCCGACCCTCGCCCCGCGTTCGCCGCCGCAGGTGATGGGGGTGGAGGTGCCCGAGGGTGACGCGGCGCTCTCCGCATCCGGTGCGGGCACTCCGAGACACTTCCGAGACACTTCACCTTCACCCCATAGCCGCCGTCGCCGCCGCCGCCGCCGTCGCCGCCGCCGTCGTCGCCGCCGCCGCCGTCGCCGCCGCCGCCGCCGCCGCCGCCGCCGCCGCCGCCGCCCAACCCACCGCCCACTGCGTCCGCAGGCATCGTCGGCGCGGAGACGGAGATCTTTGCCGAGAACGAGATCAGCGAAGAGGAGGCGGGCGAGGACTCTGCGATCGGATACGCCGACATCGGCGCGAGATCTAGCCGAGAGATGGGGAGAGATGGGGAGAGATGGGGAGAGATGGCGCTGCCACGCCTCGGCCTCGTCGCTGCGTCTCACGCGGAGGTGGAGGGCCTGTTGTTCCTGAGGAGGGACCCGCGGGCGGCGAGGCGGCGTTGCCTCCCGCCTGAACCTTCTCGGAACCTTCCGCTAGGCGGGCTCGACAAGGAGCTCGCGCAGCTCCGCGAGCTGATCGACTTGCCGCTCAAGCAGCCAGAGGTGTTTGACCATTTGGGCGTGCGGCCGGCGCGCGGCGTCATTATCCACGGTCCCGCCGGCTCCGGCAAAACGATGATCGCGCAGGCAGTCCGGCAGGAGGCTGGCGTGTGGTGCCGAGAGCCTAGAAGGGGAAGAGTCTAGACGATGATCGCGCAGGCAGTCCGGCAGGAGGCTGGCGTATGGTGCCGAGAGCCTAGAAGGGGAAGAGTCTTGTGCTCCAACTAGCGAGAGGACATGTAATCAGCTGTATTCGGCCGCATCCAGTCGTATTCGCTGTACTCGTACCCCTCGTATTCACGCGGTGCTCTGAATCTTCCGCGCAATGCCGTCTTCCCGCCCCGACCTTGGGCGTATTCACCTCGCAGGTTCCGCACCGTCAACGGCCCCGAGATCATGGCCAAGCGACCCGGCGAGGCCGAGTCGGCGCTGCGCGAGGTGTTTGAGCAGGCCGAGGCCAACGCGCCCGCCATCATCTTCATCGACGAGCTGGACGCGCTCGCACCAAAGCGCGACAAGGCGCGGCGCGGCCCCCGTCGCCCCTCGCCAACCACTCTCCCACCCCCTCTCCCACCCCCCTGCCATCCCTCTTCGCCCCTCTCTCCTCCCACCTCACTGCGATGATGAGACTCTGGCCACCTCTCGGCCATCTCTCGGCCATCTCTCGGCCACCTCCCGGCCATCTCTCGGCCATCTCTCGGCCATCTCTCGGCCATCTCTCGGCCATCTCTCGGCCATCTCTCGGCCATCTCTCGGCCATCTCTCGGCCATCTCTCGGTCACTCTCAGGCCATCTCTCGGCCATCTCTCGGCCATCTCTCGGCCATCTCTCTCGGCCTCTCCACGGCCATCTCTCGGCCACCTCTCGGCCATCTCTCGGCCATCTCTCGGTCATCTCTCGGCCATCTCTCGGCCATCTCTCGGCCATCTCTCGGCCATCTCTCGGCCATCTCTCGGTCATCTCTCGGCCATCTCTCTCGGCCACCTCTCGGCCATCTCTCGGCCACCTCTCGGCCATCTCTCGGCCATCTCTCGGCCATCTCTCGGCCATCTCTCGGCCATCTCTCGGCCATCTCTCGGCCACCTCTCGGCCATCTCTCGGCCATCTCTCGGCCATCTCTCGGCCATCTCTCGGCCATCTCTCGGCCGTCTAGGCGCAAGGCGAGCTCGAGAAGCGGATCGTGTCGCAGCTGCTCACCCTGCTCGACGGGATGAAGGCCAACAAGCGCGTCATCGTCCTCGCAGCCACGTCGCGGCCCGGCACCATCGACCCGGCGCTGCGCCGGTGCAAGCCGAACCCCGACCCCACACCCCGACACCATACCCCGACCCCACACCCCGACCCCACACCCCGACCCCACACCCCGACCCCATACCCCGACCCCATACCCCGACACCATACCCCGACACCATACCCTAGCCCCCATTCCCCCGACCCCATTCCCCCGACCCCACCCCCGACCCCACTGCCTCCCCGCCGCAAGCCGGCCGTGTCCGTCCCCCAAACGCAACTCTCGGTGCCCATGACCCTCACGCGGTGCTCCTTGCAGGTTTGGGCGGTTCGACCGCGAGCTGGCAGTGCAGCACCCTCCCACCCACGGGACTGAACCCACACTGGATTCGGCACTCTGGAGGTATGGGACTAGGCGCTGCCCTCGCCCGACGCGGCGGGCCGCCTCTCGATCCTGCGCGCCAAGACCCAAAAGGCGCGCGCGCCGAGATCTAGCACGAGATCTGGCACGAGATCTGGTCGAGATCTGGCACGAGATGGCACGAGATCTGGCACGAGATGGCACGAGATCTGGTCGAGATCTGGCACGAGATGGCACGAGATCTGGCACGAGATCTGGCTCCAGATCTGGGAGAGGAGGGTTTATGAGCCGGCCATGCCGCCGAGACAATGCCGCCACGAAGTTTTGGCCGCCGGATTCTCGCCCCCGCCGCCC